GAAGCCTTGGCCACCCCAACCTGCGCTTAGTAAAACCCCAACACTGGGCCGTCTTCCTGGAGGCAGGCAGAAGTTAAGCAGCGTGGCCTTTCCAGCAGGGAGGAAACTGGGGCTTGTGCCCCTTACTTGGTGCTCACAAAGGGGCAGCACTGGTTTGGGATGAGTCCCAGCAGGCCTGCGGACTAACGTGTCTCAGAGGGAAACATGCCCGAGAACAGCAGGTGGATCCCAAGGCAGGTGGAAGGCCCCTGTGGGTGCCTGTAGGGTGGCATTGGAGACCTCACAACACTGAGGGGCTGTCCACAAAAACGGGATAGACACCATCCATTCACCTGGTTTTAACACAACTGTCCTGCACCCTCACAGGGACAGGCAAGGTCACTGAGCAGTTACCTGGAGAGATGTTGGGCAGAGCAGGTCCACAGACCACATCGCTGTCCTTGGTCCCCTTCTCACGTACTGATTTTCCATCCAGTGAACAGCTTAGACAGTTCAAGGAAAAGAGTTCAGATGATTACTCTAGTTACGGAGGACTCCAATGAAAACTTTGATGCTTGTCACCCACTGAAGTGGACTTGTCATGGAGGGGGGCTGTGTGCAGGAAAAAGTTCCACTTGACCATTTGGCTTCCTTCAGCTTTCACTCAGCTTTCAAGGATGCACGAAGTTCACCCCACTCACTTACGAACTGGGTTTTTCATCCCAAGCTAGCGATCCATGCCAGGCTCCCTCTGTTCAATGACAGCACACTTCAGGCTGCTGTGCCTGCTTGGCCTCTCCGCTTCCCCACCCACACACTCTTTACTCATAGTCACACATCGTGGGCACACGTGAAGGTTCAGAGAAGGTTAGGACTCCTAGCGTTTGCTTCAGACTCGAAAGGTCTGAGCCTGGACCTGCCACTTTACAGAATGACTCTGAGCAAGTTATGATGTCTTTCTGAGCCCCAGTTTTGTCATGTGCAAAGTAAGGATAGTATATGCTCGAAGGACTGATACGAAAAGTAAATGGATGAATCACACACTTCTGCCTGCCTGACACACTCAATAAATGGTAGCTAGCATCACCATCACCACCACCATCACAATCACCATCATCATCACCATCACCATTACCATCATCATCACCATCACCATCACCAGCACCATCACCATCACCAGCACCATCATCATCATCATCACCATCATCATCATCATCATCACCACCATCATCATCACCATCACCATCAGCATCATCATCACCATCACCATCATCATCACCATCACCTTCACCAGCACCATCACCATCACCATCACACCATCACCATCATCATCACCATCACCATCACCATCACCATCATCATCATCACCACCATCATCATCACCATCACCAAAACATCACACCACCACTGTCATCATCATCACCATCACCATCACCATCATCACTATAATCATCAACACAACCATCACCATCATCACCATCATCATTGATCTGTTTTTCCCTCCTCTTAAGCTATCCCCAATCCACCCATCCTCCAGAGCCCAGTTCAATCCACTTTTCCACACACACATAAATACTCTGATCAATTTGTGTTAAAAGACCTTAAAAAAAAAGACATTCTAATCTGTTACCAATCAGCACATTTGTAAAAATACAATAAAAATGTAACTGCAAAATTATAATTAAAATGATTTTCTAGTGAGAAAATCAAATGGGAAAAAGAAAGGCATATAGAATGTGAGGCCCAGGTGTTGGTTATCAGAGACCACAGACCTCGTGGCTCTGCCAGTTTCAGGTCTCTGGAGTGTCCTCTCCTTGCCCCTTGGCTGCTGTCCTAGGCACACAAACTGCCTGTGAAGGCAGTCTCAGTGGCCCTGGGCCAGATCCCAGGTCCACAGTTACATTCTTCCATGTGCTATTGGCTGCTGTACCCCCTGTTGTGGCCCGTGGGGGACATTCTGGAGGGGAAGAAGCATGCTTTGCCCTTCTGTATCACTCTCAATGCTGGTACTGACCACCTGAGATGGGCGATCAGTGCAGAAGGTAAGAGACAGCAAAGAGACTGGAAGAAAGCAGAGGAGACCAGGCAAGGCGGAGGGTGGCAGAGTTCCCCTGGCGAATCTGATCGCAACGCTCCCGGGATTGTTTCTGGAAGAATGCCCACTGTGTGTCAAGTCACGACGCTGTCACGGTGTTCCTATCAGCACATCACTGTAGGTCTACACTCCAAAGGGGTAAACAGCTTCAAGGACAATAGTCCTGTCTTTCAAACACTTAACACAGACACGATTGTGTAAGCAAGTGAGATTATACATACTTTGTCCAGGGTCTACAGACACCACCTTCCTGATCGTTGAATGTCCCAGGGTCACAGTCTTTACAACCTTGAAGAAAGATTGAAGCATTTCATCATCTCATAACCCTCCTCTGCATTGGCAAAGTCGTTAACTTAATATAACCTTGCACTGTTTAACAGTTCTTGAAACAGAACCCGGAGATCGCCAGTTGTACGTAGGGTATTGCATTTATCTAAAATGTGTAAAAAGGCATGGTTCTGACTATTAGCAAATGTCCTGATTTCAAATCATTTCTATTTATGAGGAAAAAAGTATATCTCATTTTATTAATTAAAACATGGTGTTGATATCATGAACTTGAATATCATCACATGTTACTTTTAAGTTTCTGCATGATACACTTGCTCTACGTGACAAACTGGAATAGACACAGGAGGAGCAAACCTACCGTCTGCTGTCAGTTCCTGGCCTGGTTTACAATCTGGGTCACACATGGCACATCCTGCCCCCAAGCAGTGGAATCCTGAGATGCAGTCACACTCTGTGTCGCTGGTGAAGGAGCACGGCTTCTTGACCCTGTGGTAACCTGCAAGGCCCCAGTGCTTTGTTCCACTTGACCTCCACATCCAGGAAGCAAATTCATGTTCTTCAGCAAAAATCATGCCCACGCTCCTCCCCATGTTCCCAATGGCACATCTACTCTTGAACCTCCATAAAGACACTTTTGCACTTCGCTAATTGAAAGTTTCCCTCTTGTCAAGTGAACATTTCCTTTGAGATTTAAAAAGCCCCATCAGTAATCGCTTCTACACTAAGTACTTTTATTCAACCTGCCCACTGACTGAGGATTCCATGCCTTGGATACTTGACATATTAGATAGAGATGGAATAGAAAGTGGGGAATAAGAGTCTGCCCCCAGCCCGTCCCCCAGATGAAGGATGCGCCTTTAACACACACCTTCACACTTGGTGCATATGTTGCAGGCTCTCTGTCCGCCTGTGCTGGAATAGCTGTTGGAAGGACAGGGAATGCAAGTCTGATTCTTGCTTTTTCCACAGAAAGTACCTAAAAGGCAGACAACAGATGTACGTGTTCGGCAATGAACAGTCACCACCCAAAGCATTATAAAGTTCACAAGAAAGTTAGGATTAAAGCATCGTTTGTCTTCTAGACATCTCAGTGATAGACATTATTTTGTTTATTGACTTTTTAAAATTATACATTGGCAAGATTTCCCTTAGCATAATCACAGAGTTAGAGAAAAATACAAATGTTGTAACAAAGGAATCAAGACAAGGAAAATACTTGCCTTTGTCTATTGAACAAGAAAGAATGATTTCTCATGATTGATCCAGGAGATCAATATGACTGCATCCAGGAGAAGATTAATGTCCTTCATAGGTCCACTAGGATTCGAATATATTTGACTTTTCACACTCTGCCAAGCCGACTAGCAACGGCTTACTCTCTGCTATGGCCCAGGCTGTGCATGTGGTCTTGTGCACAAACTAGCATGACGTGAGGTCCTGCCACACCATGCACTGTTCTACCCTATCTCTGCAGCCCCGCTCCAATGCAGGAGAGAGAGCCGTAGTCCCCAGATGACCAGGTCAAGACACAGAGTTAAGTAAGTGGGCTGTGCTCACTCATCAGGTGTGTAGCATCCAATAGGCATATGTCAGCGCGTGAACACAAGGTCATTAAAAGGAGCCAGCCCTCACTGCCAGGCTAACTGAGTCATGTTTTCAACAGGACACATCAACACATGTGGGAATTTGGTACCTACCAGCTGGACAGAGGCCACAGAGATCTTCCACTGATCTTGTTCTCTCAAAATTCATGACCAACAGCACAGTCGCCACCACGTTGTAATAGCCATTCCTCATGATGGGATCCTGCATGGAGCCGATGCTATGCTAGCATAGCAAATGCCAAAAGAATTCTCATGGAATGAGCCGGTCACACCAATGTCACTGTGTGAGATGTAACAAATCCCAAGGACAGGGGGCTTTCTCCTTCCAGAATAATCTTTATTTCAACCACTACTTATACCATTTCACAGGACTACAACTCAGGGTACTTTAGGAGCAACTAATAATGGAATATTATGGAAAAGTAGCAAATCCATCGACTTCTACAATAAGAAGTGTGACTAAACACAGCTTTGTGCATGTTTGCCAAAGAGTGAAATTTTCAACCTGTTCCACAAAAACTATGGCAAAAGCCCACGGGACTCTCACAGATACAAGCATCAGCACCCAGATTTCAATGCCAGTTAGTTGCTGCCTTGTGCAGAGCGGTCATTTGAACCATGGTCTGGCTCCCTCAGGGCTGAGTAGCTGCCTGTGCAAAGCGGGTGGTCAATGTGGCCCAGTTGCTATGACGACGCTGGCCAGAGGAGGCTACTGCAAAGGCACACAGTGTTATCCCTTGGGCACCAGCTCCCAGGGACAGAGAAGTCTAAGCATAACAAGATGACTCTGATGTCTCACCCCCCTGCATCCCTCAGATTGCCTGCTTTGCTGAACTTTCCCACAAATAACTGTTTTTAAAAAGTACCTTTATTTTATTTATTTATTTTTATGTGGTGCTGAGGATCAAACTCAGGGCCTTGCATGTGCTAATCGAGCACTCTACCGCTGAGCCCCAACCCCAGCCCCACAAATAACCTTTTTGATGAAACTTGTCTAATAATGTGCTGAGCTAGCTCTGGGTCCGTCCTCCCTCATCAGGGGATGGAGAACCCCTGGCTCCAGCTTCCTCTACCTGTGGGTCTGTCTGTCTTTTCTTCATCCCCCATTGCTCCCATCTGGTTCTGAATTGACCCAGGCACTGCCTCAGAGACAGAGTCCTCACAGAGAGTGGCACCTGTCAGTTGCATTCAACAAGAAGATACTTCAGTTACTGTTCCTTCTTTGAGCACCTAATTGTTAACTTCATATATATATAAACACTGATGGATCTTTATTTTATTCATTTATTTATATGTGGTGCTGAGAATCGAACCCAGTACCTCCCACATGCCAGGCAAGTGCTCTCCACTGAGCTACCACCGGAGCCCTAATTGCTAACGTTTTAAAGACATCTCTTCTCAAGTCATCATCACATTTTCTTAAACCTAGACATGAACTTGCCTATTGTGGAACTTGAAGCTTGTATAGTATCAACGCTAAGGAGTAAAGACATCTCTTCCTTTTTTAAATCTTTATATAGTAGGCTGTGGAATAGAAGGTATTCTAAATCAGAAGGGGAGAGATCTAGAAATGTACAAGGAGAACAGTTTCCACCCTCACCCCGTCCTGGGTCCTCTGTCTAACCCCAGTGAACCTACCTTGCGATCTCAGAGGAGCAGAGAACTTTCCACTCCTGGGTACAGCAGCCAAGTGCTGCAGCTCGGGAGGACTGCAGGTCAAACAACAGGGTGACTCAGCCAGGCGGAGCTTCTTGGGAAGTCCCCACCACAGCTCCGATAGGGCTCATTTGTGTGCTGACCTCAAAATCCCCAGAGCCCCTGTCCCTTCTTGACTATGGCACTTCAGACCATTTTTGGAAGTGGCTTCTACTAGGACATTTCCCAAATGACTTTGGGAAAAGGATCTTGCCACTTAAAGCAGTGACTTATGTCAAAGCTTTCAGTGTGTCCTTAAAGTAGTCAAGATGGGAGGGATGAGACCGACTTCTGAAGACGGGGTTTTGCTCCATGCAGGACCTTGACTCCCTACTAGTGGTGCTGCTCTGGCCCTTGCCGGGTGTGCAGCTGGTGCAGTGGCACAGACCCAAGCCTTGGGGAGCCTGCACAGTCCCTGCAGGGCCGGTGGGGAGCAGGGATTACCCATGTTATCATTGGGCAGCATCATACAAAAGAGAGCGCTGTCCGTCAGGCTGTGAGCAGGACAGGAAGCCCATTAGAACCTGGGCTACCGGCTCCTTTTTCCTGTGCTCCTCCTGTGTGATTGGGGAGGAAGGAGGGAGAATGAAGACAAGGGATCACAGTTCTCATATGGCGTTAGGTGACATTATTGGGCAAAGTAGAGATCCATGAGATATTTTTAGAAGTCCATGATTTTAAATTAAGAAAAGGAAGAGGGGCTGGGGCTGGGGCTCAGTGGCAGAGCGCTTGCCTGGCATGCATGAGGCACTGGGTTCGATCCTCAGCACCACATAAAAATTAACAAATAAAATAAAGGCATTCTGTCCATCTACAACTACATTGCTATATTGTATAGCAAACTAAGAAAAAGGAAGAGGAGGAGAGGAAGGAGGAAAAGGAGGAGATGAAAAGGGAGACGAAAGTAAGAGAAGGAAATGGAAGGAAGAAAAGGGGAGGAGGAGGAGGAGGAGGAGAACGGGAAAGAGGCTCCGGAGACTCTAAGATGACCCCCTGACCCCCCACCAGGGGCGAGGCACCCTCAGGAAGATGGCTAGGAGAGCACTGGCTGAAGTGGGTCAGAAGGGCAATATCAAGAGTGGTTTTGACTAAAACAGGCTTTATTAGGATCCAAACAGAAAAGAACAGCTTCCCCACAGGAGAACTGACCTGACCAGGAGGCAGGGAGAGGAGGCAGCTGGAATTCTACATCCCCATGTGCTAAAATTAACACGGTTTGGCTTCACTCCAAGCATGTCACTGTCCTTAGAAATTCTCACTGGCTTCCTGGTGCCCCAGATAAAACCTAGACCCTGTAGTCCAGGACTGAGGGACCTCCTGAATCTACCCTCGGCTTGCCTTTTAAAAAGCTAAGACTAAGTTCACATAGCATAAAATTCAACATTTGAAAGTGTACCATCCGTTGGATTTTAGTATATTTACTATGCTGTACAACCATCACTATTAATTCCAGAACATTTCAACCGAGCAAGAAGAAATCCTACCCCTACTAGCAATCACTCCCATTCTCTCTACCCCAGCCCCCAGCACCCACTAACCTACTTTGACTCTATGAATTTGTATATTCTAGGAATGTCACGAAAACGCAACCGTACGATATGTGGCTTCTTTAATTTTACATAAAGTTTTCAAGTTTCATCATGTTGTAGCATGTCTTGGTATGGCTTTCCTTTTTGTGGCTCAATAATATTCCATTGCACATTTTGCTTATCCATTCATCAGCTGATGGACATTCAGGGTATTTTCACTTTGGGATCATTTGCTGCTGTGAACGGTCACACATAGGTTTTTGTGTGGACCTATATTCTCAGTTTTCTTAAAGGTGTCCTAGGAGATACATTGTTACATTGTATGGCAATTGTTTCCCTTTTGGAGAAGCTGCCCAACCCTTTTCCACAGCAGCTGTACCTGCTTCACATTCCCACCAGTGACAAATGAGGGTTTCAGTTTCCCTGAATTAACAACAACAACAAATCATGGGCATCCTAGAAGGTCCGGCATGGTATCTCAATGCATTTTGATTTACTACCTGCATCCCAATTTCATCACATTTGTGAATCCTGTTCCAGGAGCAGCTGTGCGTGGAGCACAGTGTGTTGCTGTCAGGTGGACTTGGGCAGGTTTCTTAATCTCCTTAAATCCCACCTTTTCTACCCATTCCTTACAGGCACAGCAACACTGACCATCCTCCTCGGTTATCTAGGGTTAGCGGGAACAGTGAAGGTAGTGTTCCCATCTCAATACCTGGCATGTGGTTCAGAAGGAAAAGTAACTCTTAAGAGATTGTTTTTAGATATTCCTTTTCCTCTGTCCACATTGGCCATCAGTAAAGTCACAACAGGACAGTGGGCAACATGGGGGAAGAGTTTTGGAATGCCCGGCTGCAGACCCTGAGAGCCAACTGTCCTTTGATCTAGCCAGGTCACCTGCCTGACCTGGGCAGTGCTGGCTGCATGTAAGAGCATTGCACCAGGAGAATGAGCCTGCTGATTCCTCCTTGCCCTTCAGAGTCACCAGCTAACCCACAGGCCCCTCATTGACATGTGTTCTGTGCTCAACCTGCGCAGCATGACATTTAACAGGGCTGGATTCTCATTTAAGTAAATGCTACCTACTCGTCTACATTTGTATGTCTGTGGGCAGAGCTGTCACCCCCGCAGGAGTGACGGGAGTGACGTGGTTCTTGCTTAGCTCACTTTCTCAGGCTTGCAGGCCAGGGACACAAAAGTCTTCACTGAGCTCAAAGATTCTCAGAATTAGTTTTATCAGCCTACAGTTAAACCAGACCAACCACTTCAGGATTATTCTACCAAGGCTGCACTCCACTTTATTCACCTCTCGGTAGTTTTGTGTGATAAAATCATCCTAGTAAGCTCCAGCAGACGATGCAGCTAACCAGAATTACAATCTCAGCCACCTAAAGGCACAGTATTCATTTAGTATGATTTTCATTTACTTTAAAATATGTATCCTATCACGTTACTCCACTATGCCTTCTGACCTTCCAGATGCTACAGTCAGAACCTTCCCAACTAAGTCCGAGTGATTCCAATGAAACATCAGCACTTTGGCAATATTAAGATATTAGTTGGGCTTGTGGCTCAGCAGTGGAGCCTTGCCTAGCACGTGAGAGGCCCTGGGTTTGATCCTCAGCACCACATAAACATAAGTAAAGGTGTTGTATCCAACTACAATTGAAAAATAAATATTTTTTTAAAGTATCAGTTGAGGACTAATGCATTCTGAACATCTCATTCTAAGCCAAGGAATAGCTTTTGTTTAATTGTGATTGACTCTGGGTCTAATGGAGAAGATCTCAAGCGAGTGTAACTTTGAGCTAAACAGCATGAGGACTTGACTACTCTAAACAAAATAATGATATCTAGAAAAACAGCCCCTCAAAGCAAGCAGCCTATAAGACATGCCCCTGTCCTCCCGGGGCGCACTGTGGAGGCACCGCCCTGTGGAACAGTCCTGCTCCCACTGCTCATCCTCGGGAAGGTCTACCCCCAGAGGCCTGTCCCTGCC